ATAACGACCTATTATTGACAACTTAGCGATTATAAACAAACCGACAAATTCTAGTCAGTGAAAACTTCATACAATGACGTCAGAGTTTTCGGACCAATCAATTTTTTTTCGGAGAGCCCTGCCCTCGCACGTGAAAGTCGGTCAGTGCGTGTCTGTCCGCTGCCCAACTAAGTGTACGTGTGAAAAAAATATATATAGAAAGCCGGCTGAAAGTTTTACGAATTGCGAGATACACTTATCGCTGGAAATATTACCACGTTGAGGACGACGTATTATGGTGAAGCGTGATGACGGAAGCGCGACGCACACACACACACACACACACGCGTAAAATTTAAGTAACGTTTAACGAGAACCGGCGAAATCTACATATTTATTACACGAAGTACATTTCAAGTAATAAGCAAATTCAGGCAATAAAAACCATACTTCTGATAATCCACGCAATATTGATATATTTTTTTACCGCTTTGGCTATTGCAAACGACCGCAGTTGAACGACTTGCGTACTAATTCACAAAATTATACAAGGGTTTTATCCAAAATGGCTACTCACGCTTCCAACCGTAGGAAACACAATCCGTGTCCAAACAAGACAGATACACTCTTTACACATCAAAAGATCACTCACAGCTATAGGGGCACGGCCGACACTTACACTTAATCGTGGACTCACGACTTGGAACAAATTACCAAATAATATCAGACATATCAGAAACTTTAATACATTCAAAAAGAAATTAAAAGAACATCTCTTAAATCACCAATGACATCAGGTTTCAATATATACGAATAGGCATGACTATGTACTGTCATTAATTCTATGTACTGTAAAATCCCTTTCTCAGTAAAATGAATAACCATTGCATTTAATGGAATAAAGATTTTGAATTTGAATTTGAATTTGACTGGGTCCGAAGCATTTTGGGCTCAGGCAAAAGTCAATAAATTCCATCTTACAATTTAAGACAAGTATAAGTATTGAACTGTTACCATATTTGGCGACAATCATCACTAAAGTTTGCAAGCTCGTTAATAAAGCCTCATGTATAAATTTGAAACGGTCATCCAGAAACTTTCGAAACGGATTTTCGTATCAAAAAGTTGCTTTTGTCCAATGATGATTTAATTCATTTCTATTGTGCGTCCATCAGGCAAAAAGTAATCCCGGATTTGGCCGCTGAATCGTATACCGTAATTGTATATGTGAAACATGGCTCCCACCCCCGTAGAGTTTCAACAAAGCCGATTTAAAGTTATTTTGTTGTTTTTGTTCTGTTTTCCTATGTGTAGATCAAGCTAATGCCTCCCTAAAATACAGTGCGAAGCCAAATCTTACACATTTTTTCAAAGTTCCGTCACTCACCAACAAGACAAAACGGAAAGCAACAGCATAACAGCGTTAAACTACGAGGGGAGATTCCATTCCCAAAAGAATGGTTTCGAGAGTCGGAGGCTGGAATGACACCGGAAACTTACCGAAAGATCTTCCACAATCTCGCTCAAATTTTAAGGACCATTTGACTTTGCCTTTGGAGTCCTCATGATCTATGTCCTTTTGGTGTTATTTTATCTTTTACTTGGTCTCGGTCTATTCATTATTTCTTACGTTGCCTTTTTTGTGTTTTTATTCAGAGTTTATCAGCACTAGTTTTTTTTTTTTTGTATGTTAATTTCCATTTGGGTTGGAGATTAACTTGTTTAGATTAGTATGTTTTCGTGTTAACAATCTGGGTAAAAATTGGACCACCAGTTTAGGGGTAAATATATGTGTTTGTGAGTTATTTTTAAGTACATCTAGAGTTAGTTTTCACGTGCATCACCCCGCTGTGATAAATTGGTGATGTACACACATTTATCTATTTTCTCGTGACTGAATTATTTGTAGACCTCCCTAGTGAGTGCCACTTGCTCATTAATCCATTGCCGCCGGGGAAAATGAACAAAAAATGGGGAAATGCAGTACTCATTTTTTATATTTTTGTGAAATATCTCTGTCCATAGATGGCTCTGCTGATACTGATTTCACCTTTCCTTGAATTGGCGGGAAAAAAACGTATTCTTACTAGTGCTATAAATATAGATGGTGTTATTTTTAACAGCAAATTAGGATAACGTTAAATATTTTCGTAAATCGATGAAAAGGGCGAACGGGCGAGACAGGCAGTACTGCAATTGGCTCATTGGATACTTAGTACAAGAGTAGCCATTTACGTGTATAAACAATCAAACAAGTCGACTCACAGTGGGCATGGCATGTGCGTACATGTCATCCCCGGTGGCAATGGGTTAAATATCATTCCGTCGTAGAGCTTTCTCTCAGTCCCAGTCAGAAGAACAAATGATATTTACGACCTCATAAGTTCTGGTTCTGACCAAGGCTGAATGCCTGAAATGTTCTTGGGTTCGGGACTCCTGAACAATGCGTTGCTGGATACTCTGATATCTCGCAACCCTGGAAGGCTGTAAAATGGCTAGGTGAATCGGAGTATTCCTATTATTGTTACTATTATTATTATTATTATTATCATTATTATTATTGTTGTTGTTTTGTTGTTGTTGTTGTTGTTCTTGTTGTTATCATTTTTGTTTTATTGTCATTATTACTAATAATATTAGTAATGACGGGATTGAGATTAATTCTTATTGTTTATGTTAGTATTGATGATAATGATGGTAGCAATTTAAATACTTATTGATCGTGGCAATAATGATGATAATGACGACGGTGGGAATAACGAAGAAGGTAATAATCTCTTCGAAATTTCTGAAAAAAAGATGGCGGACTTTTTCGTCGACTTTTCAGCACAGATCGTCAACTTGGTAGTTCGTGTAACAAGTTTGTCTGAAATCGTAGGAAATCGTCAGAATATTAAAGAGAGAACTTTCGCAAGATAGAAGGAACGAATGTTGAAATTTTCACCATAAAAGGCAGATCTTTGAAGTGCATTTGCAGTGAGATCACTATCATCATCACCGTTATCACCATCACTATCCCCATCATCAGCATCACCATCTTTATAATCATTATCATAGTCATCATTATCGCCATCATTACCATTGCCATTATCATGATTATCATCATTATCATCAGCAACATTTCCATTAACCTCAACTTCATTATCATAATCATCTTCATCATCACTATCATCATATTTAACCTCATCTTCATCACCATTTCTATCATCATCCCCATCACTATCACCACCAACACTAATGCCACTATCATCATCACCATCACCGTAATCATCATCATTGTCACCATAGTCACCATCACCATCATAATCACCATCGTCACTTATACATCATCATCACTATCACCATGAAAAGCCTTTCATAAAAAAATCAAGCTATAAATACCTGGGGCGGGATACTCAAAACAGTTGACAATGTTGTATCTCACATCGGAGCAGTTACAATGTTGTAACTCCTCCGGGGGCCATACTCGAAACAAAAGTAGCCGCCATGTTATGACGTCACTCATTGTAAAGTACCTTGTAAGTTACAACTGCTCGGGAGCTCTTGTAAGGGTTTCAAACCGGATATATTACGGTTTATATCCCGATTATTTAGTCGACAAAAACCTTTATTTGACAGTAACATGCCGTTTCCATATTTAATACCGGGGAATTTCAATTGTCTAGCATACTCTCTGTTTTCTATGCATTGTCGTTATTTTGAATTAAATATAAATTGACTGTAAATTGAGTTGACAGACGACAGACGACACACAACAATGTTTTGGTGGCTGCTCATACTCATGACCGAGCACTGCAGCGCGAAAGTCATTCATTATTAGAGGGAATTATTAGTTTCACGCTATGGAGAGGATAAACATTTATTGCGATATCATAGATTTCCTAGATTTGTTTTACTATAACCTTCTTTGATGCCAAATATCCAACTAGACAATCCTTTTAAGAATTATTATTCCGATAATCAGTGACTCGTCCGTAAGTATGTTAAAATCGATTTACTTTCGCATGAAATGATGATTTTTTGCTTTATACTTCCGAAAAAATGTATGTAAGTCACATGTGAGACCTGTGGGTTGTGATAGTGAAGTGAGTTGTGATAACAATGTGAGTTGTGAGTGCCATGTTGTGATGCCAATGCATATGGATTATAATGCCAGTATTATCGTACGCATATTGTGGTGATTATGTTATTATATTATACACACTATCATTTGTGTGATATGTTATACCATGTGAAATATAGAAGATTATGTTTAGTTTATATTGCTGTGTAGCATATCCACTTATATGAAAGAATGATATTCTCTGTTTGATTTATAGAGTACAACATTTTATTTTGTCTCTGTAGTCACACGTCTGGCAGTAAACACAGAGAGACGGAGCCTGGCGTGTGGGGCAGAGGAACATGAAGAGTTCCGTATTATTTTTGTCAGAGCTGATTTCAAATGAACCTACTTTAGATTTCATCGGTGTTTTCTTCGCCCTCAAGTATCATAGAAGGACACCAAGCAAACAAAGAAGACGAACATGGCGCAGTGATCCAGTAAATTCAGTTCTGACGCCTGTTATTGCTGCCCGCCCCAGGCCCCCTCGACCTCATGGCGTGTCGCCGGCCCCGAGCCTCGTCCACCCTCGTGCTAGGTCAGCAATCAACCCGCCCGGCAGTGTACTTCATTGATGCAGTGGTGTAGTGCTCTAGTGTAGTGATGTGTATTGTGCAGTGCCTATAGTGTTCGTGCAGTGTTTAGTGTGCTCAGGGGACATTTTCGTAGCATAAGGGAGCCGAAACGAAGCATTTTGGGGTACGAGCGAGGTATACCCTGCGCTCTCTACGACGCTTCGTGAGCGACTGATTCTCTCGCGCTCGCGGCTCGCCTGCCCGCACATGTCCGCCGTGACGTCACCGCACTGGCACCGCGCACACGAGTGCCATAACACTCGCTGCCCAACGCTACATTTTCGTATCTTCACCGGATTTTCGGCGATTTTGCTGTATTATCTTGACACCCTTACCGCATTACAATGGGTAGAGGGAAGAAGAAAGAAGATACGAGTAAGAGTGACCCTGAAAAGCCAGACTCCAGCCTTGACGAGTCTGCAGGGGCCACTGCCAGCACCCCACCTCCCACTGATGTTGCCACATTGCTACAGTGGATAATTCAGAGGGATGACAAGAGGGAAGACGCCCGCCGGAAAGAAGAGGATGCACGCAGGAACGAGGAGTCTGCTCGTTTTCAGGAGCTGATCCTTCGCCTCACTCCCCAGCAGCCCGCAGCTTCACCTGCGAGTTCGCCAGTGAGCAGTTCTGCCGCGCCCACTGCTTCTCACACTCCACCGACCCCGAGGGCAACGATACAGCCTCCGAAAGCACTAACGGCAGACGCGAGTCCCCAACAATTTCGCGAATGGAAGCGCGAATGGTCCGATTATGCTGTCATGGTGGATCTTGTCAGCCTGCCATTATCAAAGCAGCATATACAGCTACGCATGTGCCTTACAGCTGAGATGCGACGGGTGCTGGAGCACAAGTTGGACGTGCCCGCAGACCCAACATGCTCAGTGGACGATGTCTTGGCAAAGCTCGAAACGCACATAAAAAATGCAAGTAATGAGGCACTGCGACGGAAGGCCTTCTCTGAGTGCAAGCAAGCAGACGGCGAGAGTTTCGATGACTTTTGGATACGCCTGAAAATCTTGTCACAGGAGATAGACCTTTGCAAGGCTCAGGACCAAGCATGCTGTGAGCAGTGGAAGAAACACGGCATACTAATGGGTATACGAGATGAGGAACTTACCCAGAAGCTCATTGAGATGGACCGCTCAGCGACGTTGCAGGATGTTTTGGAGAAATGCAGGTCTCATGAATCATCAAAGACTGCATCATCTGCTTTGAAGGACACAGTTTCTTCACGTGCTGTTTCTCAATACAAAAGAGAGAAAAAGGCCGCCCTGAAGCAGAAGTCCAAGATGAGGCCTGGCTCACCTCTGCCTAATAAGGCCTGCAACTGCTGTGGTCGTCAACATGAAAAAGGTTTGTGCAGGGCCACCACTTCCACATGTCGTGCTTGTGGCAAGAAAGGCCATTGGGCTACTGCTTCTAAGTGTCCCGCCAGGAATGCCAGATGCAGGTTGTGCAACAGGCAGGGACACTATGACAAATGCTGCCCAAAGACAAGGAAGGCTAATAAGACAAAAGAAGAGGACCCCAACCAGAACTTAAAGGTAGTAAGTTCAGTATCCCCTTCAGTGTCATATGCCAGGAGTGTCACCTCTACTGCACGACCGAAGCCTCAGCCTTCCCCTAAACCGCGTATCAATTCGGCATAATGATTTATCAGGGAGTCTTGCCATCATCCCTGACACAGGTGCAGACACGACTGTCATTGGACTCCAGCATCTTAGTAGTCTCGGCCTCTCAAAGAAAGATTTGGCACCGCCGGCAGAGACCATATACTACAATGCGGATGGGTCACAGATGCCACCAGCGGCTGGATCTTTTCGTGGAATTATCACCTATGGCAACCGTTCGACTACATGTTGGATTGATGTTCAGCCTTCGCTTACAACCCCGCTGCTCTCTTGGACCGAGTGCAAGGATTTGGGGATTGTTCCGGACTATTTCCCAAGGCAGATGTCAGATATGCGCATTGCCAATCGAGTCCATGGGCTGGGCAGTGCACCAATGTCGAACCCTCCTAAGTTGCTGCCCTTACCACTGAACCAGCTGACGTCGCCTGAAGAAGCAAGGAAGTATTTCCTGCATCAGTATGCAGATGTTTTGGTGAAGAAGGACGACCTGCATTCTGGGCCACTCAAGACGATGGTAGGCCCACCCATGAGAATTCATCTACGGGAGAATGCCACGCCCTTCGCAATCCACACCCCAAGAATGATTCCTTTAGCTTTTCAGGAACCAACAAGAAAGGAGCTTGAGTCATTAGTGACCCAAGGCATCTTAAAGCCAGTGGAGGATGAACCATCAGAATGGTGTCATCCAATGGTCGTTGTTCCAAAAGCAAATGGTGGTGTACGTATTACTACTGACCTATCAAAGCTGAACAGACAAGTCTCTCGCCCTGCCCACCCTTCTCCGACGCCATTTACAGCCATTAGAAGTATCAGTCCGCAGTCAAAGTTCTTCACAACTGTGGATGCTCTTTGTGGTTATTGGCAACTACCCTTGCATGAGGACGATCAACACCTGACGACATTTATCACTCCTTATGGACGTTTCAGGTATTGTCGTGGCCCCATGGGTTTTGCAGCAACAGGAGACGCCTTTTGTCTCCGAGGTGACAAAGCACTACAGGGAGTAACAAACTGCATCAAGGTTGTGGACGACATTCTCCTACATGATGAGGACTACCTCTCACACCTTCAACGTGTAAACGAAGTCCTGTCAAGGTGTCGTCACCACGGTATAACCCTTAATGCAGAAAAGTTCATTGTGGCTGCATCTGAGACCAGTTTCTGTGGGTACAAGCTATCAAATAATGGTATTGAAGCAGACCCAGAGAAGGTAAAAGCCATTGCAGAGTTTCCTACCCCTGCAAACCTGACAGATCTTCGATCATTTATGGGCTTGGTAAATCAACTGGCAGAGTTTACGCCTAAGATTTCGACTGCTGCAGCCCCACTCCGCCCATTGATGAGTCCGAAGAGAGCTTTTACTTGGACCGCAGACCACACCAAGGCTTTTATTGATACTAAACAGGCTTTATCAAGGCCCCCCATACTTGCGACGTTTGATCCCGCCCTTCCCACCATTCTGCAGACCGACGCCTCCAGACTCTACGGCCTTGGCTATGTGTTGTTGCAGGACCACGGTGCTGGAAGATACAAGATGGTGCAATGTGGTTCCCGTTTCTTGACAGATACAGAAACACGGTATGCGACCATCGAATTGGAAATGCAAGCTGTCGTCTGGGCCATCAGTAAGTGCAAGTTCTATCTTCGTGGACTTCAGCACTTCAGTGTGATGACAGATCACCGTCCATTGGTTCCGATTTTGAACCATTATTCCCTGGATGCAATTGAAAACCCTCGTCTCCAGCGCATGAAAGAAAAGGTTGCACCCTACATTTATACTGCAATGTGGCGTGCAGGTAAGGAGTTGTGCATCCCTGATGCCCTTTCCCGGTCACCTGTGAGTCGCCCAACGATGGATGATGGCGCCTTCGATGCTGAAATGGACACCTCTGTCAAGATTGTAGCTCTGCATGCTGTTCAGTCTACTAAAGCATCAGAAGCCATAGACGAGCAAGAGGATCTCTTCTTGGAAGAATTGCGGACAGCTGCCTCTAAGGATGCTTCTTATGAGGAGCTGCTTCACCATGTAAAGTCAGGGTTCCCCAAAGACCGCTACAACCTGCCAAGTGCCTTGCGACCGTACTGGAAGATTCGCAGTGAATTGTACAACGATGGTGACTTGGTGCTGTATGGACCTCGAGTGGTTGTCCCTGCTTCTTTACGTCGTAGCACCCTAGCTCGCCTGCATGACTAGTCACTGTGGCGTGGAAGCAACAAAGCGTCGTGCACAACAGACAGTCTTTTGGCCAGGCATTAATGCTGACATTGTAAACACTGTCCGTGCCTGTGAGCCATGCCAGCGCCTACAGCCTAGTCAGCAACAGGAGCCACTGATTTTGGATGACAAACCCACAAGACCATTTATGTCTGTGTCGGCAGACTTTTTCAGTGTTGCTGGAAAACACTTCTTGGTGTATGCTGACAGACTATCCGGATGGCCAGTCGTCATCCCATGTGGAACTAGTGCAACAAGTGCTACGACCATCAGATTCTTCCGGCATTTGTTCCGCGATCTTGGTGTGCCAGTTCGCCTGCGCACTGACGGCGGACCCCAGTTCTCCAGCCGGGAATTTGCAACTTTCCTTCAGCGATGGGGAGTACGTCATGCTATGTCAAGCCCCCATTACCCACAGTCCAATGGGCATGCAGAAGCTGCTGTGAAGAAGGTCAAGTATCTGATCATGAAGACAGCACCCAATGGAAATATTGACAGCGAGGAGTTCGACAGAGGATTACTGGAGTTACGTAACACCCCAAACTTCACTGGTCGATCTCCTGCTCAGATTCTCTTTGGTATGCCCCTTCGCTCCTGTGTGCCTGCCCACTCTAGTGCCTTCATGAAGGAGTGGCAGACCAAGGCTGAGGACTGCGACCGTCGTGCCGCAGTACGGGCCAAGGACGTGAAGACCCGCTATGACAAGCGTGCCCACTCACTTTCCAAGTTAGAGATCGGGGCGCAAGTGCGAGTCCAGGATCCCACATCCAAGCGTTGGGATAAGGTCGGCACTGTCATGGGTATTGGCAAATCTCGTGATTATCACATCAGGCTCCCAAGTGGCCGTATACTGTGGCGCAATCGACGCTTCTTGCGCCCTACACAACTCGTGATTGGAATCTCAGCAGATCTGGAAGAACAGCAGTCAGACGACGCACCAGGATCTTCCGCCCCGTCTGTGCCTGTTGAACCTCGACGTTCGGAACGTATCAAGTTGAAGTCCGTTCAAGACTCCCGCTAATGAACGTGAAGGGGGGAGGGAGATGTGGGTTGTGATAGTGAAGTGAGTTGTGATAACAATGTGAGTTGTGAGTGCCATGTTGTGATGCCAATGCATATGGATTATAATGCCAGTATTATCGTACGCATATTGTGGTGATTATGTTATTATATTATACACACTATCATTTGTGTGATATGTTATACCATGTGAAATATAGAAGATTATGTTTAGTTTATATTGCTGTGTAGCATATCACTTATATGAAAGAATGATATTCTCTGTTTGATTTATAGAGTACAACATTTTATTTTGTCTCTGTAGTCACACGTCTGGCAGTAAACACAGAGAGACGGAGCCTGGCGTGTGGGGCAGAGGAACATGAAGAGTTCCGTATTATTTTTGTCAGAGCTGATTTCAAATGAACCTACTTTAGATTTCATCGGTGTTTTCTTCGCCCTCAAGTATCATAGAAGGACACCAAGCAAACAAAGAAGACGAACAAGACCTCATAAACATATTGTTAAAAATAGAGGAAATAAGTCTTTCAAAAATATTACTCGGGGAGACAGTCGCTGGGCCTAACATGGAGTTGGTGACCGTTGGGGGCGTGGCAATAAGACAACCATGGCTTTCCATTGGTTGTTACGTCTAGCAGGCTGACTGCTGATTGGTCAATCGACTACTGGTCTGCCCTCTCTTGGTAGTCAATGGAATTAACTTACAATGTAAACACGGGCCTTACAATGTGCTTACTACATCGTAATTATTTTTTGAGTATGGTTGGGTTACAATGTAGTAAGGAGATCGGAAGGTACGATGTTGTAAAGCGGTTACAACGTCCTCGGCCTTGGTAGTTTTGAGTATCCGGCCCCTGGGTCAGATATTAGATAATTTCAGCCTCTGACATCGCAATGCTTCTCTGGCGCCACGCTGTCTGCGCCGCTCGCCGCCGGCCGGACCCTGGGCGCCAGGCGCTCTGGAGCTCGCTGGCAACATTGCTGCTTGTCTGTTGCGATTTTTTTTGTAAATCTCATTTTCCCTCCCTCACGCACGCATGCATGCACACACGCACGCATGAATACAAACACACGCACGCACGCATGCACAACAAACACGCACACACGCATGCACACACACGCACACACACACATACACAATCACACACACACACACACACACACACACACACACACACACACACACACGTAAACAGAAACACATAAACACGCACACACACACAACTCACACAACCACTCGCAAATACACATAAACACGCGCGTGGCCACATGCACACAGGCACACACAAACACACACACATGCACATACAAACACACGCACACATACACCCAAACACACATGCACAGACACACACACACACACACGCATATCAGTGTCGTGTGGGGGGGGGGGGGTACAGCAGCCGCGGCCGAGAGCCAGACATCCGCGGCGGCCGGATGGTGAGCGCGTTGCACTGCGGATCCGGTGGCGCGGGATGCCAAGTGGCACTTAGTGCCACGCAGGTGCCACTGGAGAAGCTCCCTTTGTCTCTCTCTCTCTGACTGTCCTTCCATCTTTTTTTAAATGTATATTTATATTTTTTCTTCCATATTCGTTTTTTCTTTTTATTGCGTCAACTATTCTTCATTCTTCATCCTATCATTCATTCCCGGCTCATTTTCTCTTTTTCCGCGATTTTGTCTCCTTTCCCTTTCACTCTTTTCTTATTTTCTTGTTTTTGAGGAATGTTAACTCCTCCTCTTCTTCCTCCTTTTCCTCCTCCTTTTCCTCCTCCTCCTCCTCTTCCTCCTCCTCCTCTCCCTCCTCCATTTCCTCCTCCTCTTCCTCCTCCTCCTCCTCCTCCTCCTCCTCCTCCTCCTTTTCCTCCTCCTCCTCCTCTCCCTCCTCCATTTCCTCCTCCTTTTCCTCCTCCTCCTCCTCCTCCTCCTCCTCCTCCTCCTTTTCCTCCTCCTCCTCCTCCTCCTGCTCCTTCTCACAAGTAAATCAAATACTAATTAAAGCCTTCAGTTAATTATCCTCTTCCGGGGCTGCCGGCCGATGAGCTCATTAAAGCGAGGAATGCGATCGCCCTTTCCCCTCCTCCCCCCCCTTCAGTTGCTCTTTTACCTTCAATTTACATGTAAACCTTAAAAAGAGAGAAAGAAAATATATGTATATATACAGAAATTCCTATTTACACACGCGCGGGTTCGTGTGTGTGCTACCAGTATTATTTCTATAAAAATATCCTTTTCTTTCCAATATTCGTGGGCGCCGACTCTGCTTTGCCCTTTCGGTGTCTGCTTTCCCTCCAGGTTCGAAGCGGCGTCACATTTTGCTGATTCAGAAAATGAATTCGAGTGAACAGTCCTTAGAATAAAATGGAGAACGTTAACAACGAAAGAAAAAAAGGGAAAGGGGATAAAATCGAAGGAAAAAAGAAAATGCGTCGGAAATTAATGAAAAGAAAATAAATAAAAATAAATGTATAAATGTATATATATATATATATATATATATATATATATATATATATATATATATATATATATATATATACATATATATATATATACAAGTAAAGATGGAAGGACAGTTAGAGAGAGACAGACAGAGGGAGCTTCGCCAGTGGCACCTGCGTGGCATTGAGTTCCACTTGGCATCACGGGGATTCGATCCCGCGCCACCGGATCCGCAGTGCAACGCGCTCACCATCCGGCCGCCGGAGGAGGAGGGCAAGGCCTCTTGTCTGGCTCTCGGCCCCCCTCGCCACACCTGTGTGTGTGTGTGTGTGTGTGTGTGTGTGTGTGTGTGTGTGTGTGTGTGTGTGTGTGTGTGTGTGTGTGTGTGTTATTTCAGCGATTTTGTTTACTCGTACAGTATGTTACTGATATTGTTATTCATCTATTTTCATAATTCTTGATATTGTTATCAACACTATTGGCTTTTTCGCTCCTTTCGCCGTTACCCGTTATCCGCCGTGTTTTTATGATCATAACATGTACTGTATGTATCTGTTATGCATAATGCATATTGATGTGTTGCTTTTTTGATCGATATATTTATTACTGTTATAATAAAAATATTATTATGATTATTTATCATCATCATCATTATCATCATCATGGTTATAATAATAATGATGGTAATAATAACAATATGATGATTATGATCATAAAAATGATAATTATCATCGTTAATATTACTATTATTTATTATTATTATTATTATTATTATTATTATTATTATTATTATTATTATTATTATTATTATTATTATTATAAATTATTAAAAGCTTCCTACTTGCCGCTCTCGCCTCTGTGTTAGGCTTCGTAACAGATTTCGTAATAGCCCCCCCCCCCCCCGACTCTCCCTGGCGCCTGGCCGGACAATAAGAGGACCTGCCTGCAGAAGACGCTGACGAGCGAACGCGGACACCTTGGACGAGATGCTGCAGTCCTTACTGAGGAGGAGGATGACATGATTCTTTATACCGACCTTCGGCACTGAAACACCTGGAGTAACGCTGGAAACTACGTATTTCTGAAAGCTGGCGACAGAAAACGGAGTACATTTGTTTGGCGCCAGAGCCTGGTTGGCTAGCCAGCGTAATTTCATTTCAAAATCTTGTATATATTATATTTTCCTTTTATTTATATAAAAAATGTCATATGTTTTTATTAAAGACCTCTTCTGCAAATACCAAATGAAAAAGAGGAATCACACAATAACTAAGATAAAAGCTGTAACGTCTCAAGGAGCAGACGACACTCTTAAGAACAACGAGTCTCGCTGCGCAGACTCCTGAATTAGTAAACTTGGCGTAAAAGGTCAGGGTCAACGACCTTGTAAGGAGTTGCGCACACCTTGGCTCAGTGAACTACGTTCGGCCTCTCCTTCAGAAAGCCGGCGTTTTTAACGAACTTTTTTTTATTTTATTTTTATTTTATTGCTCTTTTTCGTGGAGGTTTTAGTTGTGTATTGTTTTTTTATGGCTTAATAATAATGAATACTTAATGAACTGGCTTTTGTTTTTATTTCATCACGTTTTATTTTCTTTATCTTAAATAAGTGATAGGATTAATCCACATTATGCTCTTTATATTATGCCTGTTTGGTGAATTCTCAATTCATTCGTTTTTCTTTTATTTTATTTGTAAATTTTCGTTCTCTTGCTTAACGAGAGTACATTGACAATGCAACACAGCATTCAGGATTTTCCTGCAGTCAGGTTAGATACATATAACTTTGGCCACGATCCTGAGAGCTAATTCCGCCGCCACACGAAGAACTCTAACCTGCTTAGTACCGATCCCTTTTTATACTTTTGTGCCGAAACAGGACGCACGAGATCTTTCTCACATGCTCATACGGCCCGTCCAGGGACAGCCTCGCCCTACAGCATAGATACACACACACACACACACAACACACACACACACACAGTGTGTGTGTGTGTGTGTGTGTGTGTGTGTGTGTGTGTGTGTGTGTGTGTGTGTGTGTGTGTGTGTGTGTGTGTGTGTTATTTCAGCGATTTTGTATACTCGTACAGTATGTTACTGATATTGTTATTCATCTATTTTCATAATTCTTGATATTGTTATCAACACTATTGGCTTTTTCGCTCCTTTCGCCGTTACCCGTTATCCGCCGTGTTTTTATGATCATAACATGTACTGTATGTATCTGTTATGCATAATGCATATTGATGTGTTGCTTTTTTGATCGATATATTTATTACTATTATAATAAAAATATTATTATGATTATTTATCATCATCACCATTATCATCATCATGGTTATAATAATAATGATGGTAATGATAACAATATGATGATTATGATCATAAAAATGATAATTATCATCGTTAATCTTACTATTATTTATTATTATTATTATTATCATTATTATTATTATTATTATTATTATTATTATTATTATTATTATTATTATAGATTATTAAAAGCTTCCTACTTACCGCTCTCGCCTCTGTGTTAGGCTTCGTAACAGATTTCGTAAT